ATGTACCAGTCAGAGTTCCAAATTTTACCTGACATAAAAGTCAATAATTTGCTTAAGATTAATATTATTTATAAAACAGTCTGTGGTACTGACTACCGGTATACTACATGTAACTATACAGTATGCTCTTACCCTTGTCTACCACATCCCAGACTTCTACTTTCACAACATCATCAGTGGCTAGTAAAAAATTCATTAGAGAAAATACCAAAATACACATCTTGCCAGTAATTGATTCATCAAGATCAATCAATCAATTATTAGCACTAGTTACATATATCTACTACAAACACGGACAGTGAGAAAGATCAATAAATTACGACCCTGGATAATTTGATGGCCATGGTAGAAGAGGAAAAGTTGTATGAATTGATCACAAGGTTGATCAGTTTTGTACAAAACCTTTGGGTTGATTAAAGGCAAACTATCTCCTAGTGCATGTATAGACTGAGAGCCTTTGGACTTGCTACAACTTGCTGCAGAAAGTCGGGTATTTTTGTTGTTTCACAAGGTAAGGCCGAGGCAGAGTGTGAGGTTGTCTGATGCTACATGTACTGGCCCAATAGCTTAGTTGCAAAAGGCTTCATATGCACTGTACTTTCTGTAGTGTACATATATGCACAAAACATGTTATCAGATAGACAACCATGTCCCTATGTACTGTAACATCTATTTCTAACTGTCCTGTAGTTAATAATTATAACTGTGTTGAAATTTAGTACATAGGTGTATACATTATAACTAGCAGCTACGCAACTAAACAAATGCACAAAGCAACTAACAAAACTCAAAACAAAGCAAGTAATGTTTGGCATTAGATATGGATCTAATAAACAGAGAACCTCTCAGCTGATGACCACAGGTTTGAGCACTAATGAAGGTTTAAATTTTATTTTATCAAAATTATAAAATCCAGCTCAAATGTTCAAATACAACTTAATAGCTACATGTACTTACAAAATTATACAAAGCACTGTCAGTTACTCACTTCTATAATTCCAGTGTATACTTGCAACCTAGGGAACGGAAAACAGGCAGTTCTTTCACTAAAGAATTACATTGTAAATTGCATCACTAGAGACGCATGACTGTGCATGTGGCTTAAATTCTACTTGATTCAAGAAGGTTTTCAATCGGTAATGTGGTGGAGGCACCATTGTGCAGCTAAGCGTGCTGGACTACAGTCTACTGATTGACTGGTCTGAGATTGAGCCATGACTGGGTAAGACGTTATACTCTCACAGTGTAAATGTACACAACTGTAAATGGGTCCTGGCAAATGGGTCCTGGCAAATCAAATACTGAGGATAACCCTGCTATGGACTAGTATCCCATCCAAGGGAGAGTACAAATATGTCTGGTTGTTTCATTCTTTAAAAGGAGACCACAACTACAGTACCGCTCAGGTACAGGCATGATAGGCCCTTGTCTCAAATACTGACTTGTCTGCTGTGTGTTGATGCACAGTGCATACACCTGAAAAGTTCAGTGCACATGTACAGCGTATATTTAACACAATAAATGTAAAAATTACACTTGTAAACTCTAAGCTAACATGCTTTTCCAAAACTCTTCATTTCCTGTTAGCAATCAACATCTCATATTTTGATCCACTTTCTGCCTGGTTTCCCACACTACATACATGTACATGTATAATTATGTACCCTTCATAAACCCATTTATCTCCTTCACCCTCTTAGTTAGAAACATTTTGTAAAATAAAAAAGAGGTCTCACTGTCACATATCACTCAAAAATTATGAAAATATTTCAAACTCAGGTAGAAACTACATCAGGGTTTATATGGGTCACGGAAAACCTGGAAATTCATAGAATTTACTATAAATTTCCAGGCCAGGAAAGTCTTAGAATTTAAGTGCACGTCATGGAAAGACATGGAAAAGCAATATGCTTTCTGAAAATAAAAAGGCAAAAAGACAGAAGATTGAAAAAATCAACAGATGAGTCTGAAACAGGCTTTAATTTCAGTACAAATAGTCACAAGGACACATTTTATCCATTATAATGCTGGAAAATATGTTACATAAATGATTGTTTTGATACTACTGTGAGAATAGCTACTTAACTTTGGTCATGGAAAACTCAGAAAGGTCTTGGAAAGACATGGAAATTTGAAAGCTTAAAAGAGTATGAACCCTGTTCATGTACATGTAAATTGTTCTCTGTCACTACTGCACTTACTAGTACATGACTTGTACAATAGGAGTGATTGTAATAGAATTCATAAGTCACTTTATTGTGGGTATACTGTAGATGTACATGTAGTAGCAAAAAAGCACCAAAAAATAGAAACAATTAGATTATAAGCCAAGATTTCTATCGCATGATAGTTGGTCAATGAGGGCGCAGCCTGAGTCAACTATCACGCATAGAAATCGAGAGCAATTAATCTAATTGCTTTAGTATAAATCTACTAGTCATTTAAAACTTTATCTAAATCCTCTACACAGACACTTCGAAAATGCAAAGAAGCAGCCACCAGTTTGTTGACTAGCGCTCACTGCTATGCTACAGAACTGTACTCACTATCTACAACAGAATAGATAGTGAGCAGTGTAGCCAATCAGAGAACACCATTCGTGATAGAATGCTAGTAGATTTATACTAATAATAATTAGTTTCCTCTTGTGAGTATACTGACAGAAATTAATTCAACACATAATACCTGAATTTCATTTGTTGGAATATATTGTTCATTGAATGATTTTCCTTGCAATCTTTGAAACAGGCAGGTTTTTCCAGTATTTCTATCTCCTTTGATCACTATTTTCACTAAAAAATAAAATAAAAACAGAAGTCTTCATTATTACAGTCAAATACTTAGACGCAAAATGAAGATGTGACCATCGCAGTTGTAAGTTCTGCCATTTATTAAGCAAATGCAAATTGAGCCAAAATATACTTTGTTGTTTCACTTGATTCAGTCTTTAATGAATTCACCAATTTATGGAAACTGATTTCGTTTATAAATTATTTTAAACTTCCTCCCTTATCAAAATATGAAAAGATCTAATCCAGCACTAATAATTTTTTTATTTGAATTAGCGATGCCCTGTTTGTCTCATCAGGCAAGTGACAACATGAAAGGCTTGCCTATGAATTTGCATACAAAGGTATCAGTTAATGACCATCAACAACACAACATTTTCCCTCACAACAAGCTTTGTTAACACCCTCCGAACTGCCTGGCCTCTAAATATGAGGGGATTGAGAAATTTAACAGCATAAAAATATGAAGAGCACGCTATACATGCAAGTGGTTCTTCATATTCACAACCATTAACTACAGCTGTATAACAATATTGGAGAAGTCCTGCCAAATCTGCCTGTCACATGATGCCACCCTTGTAATTGTATGCGCAAGATGAGTTCAGAACATTTACAATGTAAATTTAGGAACACAAGTTTAAAATAAAGAAAAGAAAGGTTTTGTCATCTAGGACAAGCAGATTTTCCTGCCAGGTAGGTAACTTTCATTGTCACTTGCCTCATGAGTGCAGACCCAAGCAAGTTATCTACCAGCTAAATAAAAAAAAGTAAACTACAGAGTTGCATGGGGCAAGTAAAAGTTGAGAGCTGCTTGTCTGAAGAGCAAGCTGGAATTCAAGGTTTTTTTCCCCCCCAAGCCCTGGTTGGACTTTACATGTCATAATATGTTATGGCTGTGAACCAGTCCCTTAGTCATTCCCGTGACATGAAATGTACAGGTAGAGATGCACATGTGTATTCTACGTCCAGGTTAATCTGCAGTACATGCTACATGGTGTATCAGCCTGATTTGACTCACATTTGCTAAGATGTTTGGGCAGAAAAAAATCGACCATGACTCTTAAAAACTCTATTGCATTCCGACAAACTTGACAAATCAGACTGATTTTTATGCACATGTTTCAAATAACCCACACAAAAGAATTGGAACAATTGGGCCAGCAGATTCTTAAAAAAAATGTTGCACTGCATGCACATTACTCAAAATTGACATATTGCAGCCTGTAAATTGGTTTGCTGGAAAATGACAACTACTCATGCCAACAAATCACACCTGTAAACTAGCTTATACCCTTCCCCAAGGAGTGTCCAAGGTACATTTTGTTGAAGTTGTACCAGATGGGCTTCAAAAGTGTGATCATCAAGATGCATGTATTGCTAGGCAAAAGCAAGCATGTCAATGAACTTCACCCGGTTTTGAGATGTACAATGAAGGGTGTAAGGGTTGGACTGTCCCACAAGCACTATCCAGATTTATGATGATTTTAGAGATGACATCTAGGTGATCAACCCAGCAAAAAAGCTTTATGTAGCACCAAGAGTGAAAATATATCTATAAACTTATACTTAAACATAAAGAGAAAGTTGTTTATAATATTAACCATTTTGTATGGGAGGCATTTTTAGCAATAGTAAATTAATAATGATGCCAGAAAAATATGATGAATTTAAAATCTTCTTGAACAAGCACAAGTTGAATCTGTTATATGTGGCTGTCTTGGCCAAGGATTGAGCTCAATTAAAATTTCAATCACTTGTAACTTGCGCGTGCCCGAGAGATCAACTTCTATAAAAGTCAGCAGAAACTTTTATACTTGAAGCTCACTGTACGATTTGATCTAATTAACTAACAACATACACATCATGGGGTATTCCAATTACTATAAATTAAAAATAACTTACTATTATACTGAATGCCTCGAGCAAACTTTCTTTGTAACGCCTGGCCCATCGCCCGTACTCCCATGGGAGTACTGAGCTTCGAATCTTCATTTCCTCCCTTAGCCCACTTTTTAATCGCGGACAACATTTCCAACCAGTGCGCTAGGAAAAGCTTGTTATACAAATTAGAATCCACTAAAAACAGCAATCCACGCTTTGTGATGAAGGTAAAACATTTCTAGAAGAGAACCTAGAAGATGCTCAAAAATGGCATCGCCGTCAATTTCGTGGTAAAGATGGCGGGAGGCTCGGTTACCCAGCCAAAACATCAATGAACGTTTACTGAGGATCATGGGACATTGCTGTCACACAACACTTCAGTGGCATGATAACAAATGGACTGCCCTGATAGATCCTGATACTTCGAACACTATTTAAAGTGCTTTGCATCTCCGAAGACGTCAATGATTCATTGCTGTTACGTTTTGTTGTGATATGATGCGAGTCGCAAATTGTGTCAAATTTTGTTCGTGGCTTTTTAGAGAGAATCCGCAGACCACTTTGACAATGTTATGACGAATAACAGGACGGACGCATGAAAAAGTGACGTCAATTTGTTTTTTTACGATAACAAATTGTCAAATTGTCTGCCCTCACTCGTTGACGCATCGCATAAATTAAAAATTCATGTGTCTGTCCGCATATTGACAACGAAAATTAGCCAATGAGCGCGCGAGAATTTCTGCAGTTATCGTAAAATTCGTGTGTTGTGAAACGTGAAATCTTATGTTTACTGTCTATTAGTTGTCCATGAAGCCGGTTTGGCCTTTACTGCATTGACCACACCTGACAAAACAAACGGTCTGAGTTGTCTACAATCAGCCTGCATTAAAGGAGACATCAAGACGGTCAAGCCAATTTTGGACTGCAGCCCGGACAGACTTGACAGTGCTATAGCTTTGAGTGTGAAGATTGCTCCCAAAGCATCTCATTTCGGAAACAAATCTATTTTGACTGCCTTGAGGCAGCAAGATTCTGCAAAGTGTGGTCAGATACGAGGAATAGTTGAGACTATTCTGAGCTATTCTAAGTCTCAGTCTCTTCTGCACCTAGCCGCGAAAAAAGGACCCCCTAGAGCATCTTCACAGGTTACTTGATTGTGGTGAGCAGTGGCGGATCTAGGGAAGGGGCTCGGGGGGGGGCCGTCCCCCCCTATATTTTGGGTTAAAAAAATAGCAGAAGGAAGAAAAGCCGGCAGACCAACCCCCACCTCCCTTAGCTCAAGGTCTGGATCTACCACTGGTGAGTGCGCTAATTCTGCGTCACCAGACTCAGAAGATAGTAGAAACTCCGCTGATGTTGGCGACGAGGTTTAATAAAGAATAGTGTAGTAGAATTTCTAGTTGAAAGTGGTGCATCTCTTGAGAGTCGAGATGAGAACGGTTTCACTCCATTTCACCTTGCTGTAAGGGCTGGAAAGGTAAGAAATGTACTTCGCTTAATATAATATAGAGCTTGAAGCTAATGTACTGAACATCAGTTACAACGAAGTATCAGCTATACATATGGCTGCAGAAAATGGTCACGTAGATGTCATCAGCCTTCCACTAGAGCTCAGTCCTGATGTAAAGAAAGTGGCTGCAATTGGGTCGCCTCTATTTCTTCCCTTTTGTACCATCTTCATTGTTTTTTTTTTTTTTTTTTTTTTTCCAGGCTTCTTCTTTCCATATTTTCCTAAGAGGGGATACAAGTCGAATTATTCTTTGGGGAACCGTACACACGTGCACCTTCATGTAATCACTGTAAAATGTGTCTGTCTTCAAACTCAGTGGCGAGTTGAGATGCTNGTCTCAAATATTGCTTAAATCCAACTTTCTAAATCAAAACTAATTTTTTTTTGTATTTTATTGATATTTAAATAAGTTTACAAATAAGAGTGACAATAAAAATTTGATTCAATTGTTATTGTCGCCTCTACATTATGCTGCCTAAGGAAACCACACAAATGCAGTGAAATTTCTTCTTGAAAAAGGTAGCAATCTATTTCGGAGAACATCTAATTACGAGGATCAAACAGTTCTCCATTTGGCTTCTAGCCTGGATTTGGTCAGTTTTCTTATTGAGCATGGTGCTGGCATCCACGCAAGAGACTATTGGAATCAGACACCGTTACATTCTGCCGCTAAGAATGGTCAGACTGACTCGACGATCAATTATTTATTAGACCAGGGTGCTAGCGCAAACGCAGGTGCCTATTCCGATTACAATCAAGGTTACTGGGCTGCTGCTGTCAAGCTATTGATCGAAAGAGGAACCAATTTTCAGTACACCCCGGGGGAAAATGTTTCCTAGTCTCTCGATGACCATTAAATGAGTTTAGCTTCCGAACATGGCTTTACAGATATACTACAATTTCTCCTCGACAGAGGTATACCTGTGGATGTAATAAATGAAGATGGCGAAACAGCCTTGATTGACGCTGCAAGAGCTGAACAATTAATGTAAAACAAATTCCAAATTCCACCTCATGGCATGAGGGAACTCTGTGACGTCCTTTTTGAGTTTGGAGCATTTGTTACTCTTCAGGACCAAAACGGAGAGATGCCACTACATTTTGCGGCATCGTTTTATACCATTATCGGTACAGTGTGGCTCCTTCAGCATGATGCAGACTGATGGAAGCCCTAGACGCGAATGATCGCACGCCACTCCTCGTAGCTGCCTAGGGAGCGCACAGCAGCAACGCTCAATTGTTGATACAAAATGGCGCTGACGTCCATTTAGTTGACAGCAGGGGCTGGTTACCTTTGCACTTAGCAGCAATACCACCACTATTCGACGTCCGTGCTGCCGAGATTTTGATTGAAAATGGGAGTGATATTACGGCACTTGACAACGATGGAAGAAGTGTCCTTCATCTGGTATTGAAAAACAGAAGGATACAGTTGGGTGAATCTCTGATTCATCGAGGGTGCAACGTTAACGGAAGAGATCCTGACGGAGAAACAATGATTGGAGAATTGCGCAGAGCGCGTGGCTGTGCTTCTGGGAACATTCTTCAGTTTTATCTTGATAATGGAGGTGACAAGCACGCTGTCGATGTACATGGTAGCACCGTCCTTCATTTTGCTGCAGCAAATGGATGTGATCCAGCACTGCTGGGCTATCGCTTAAAACAAGGATTAGAGATCGAGGCAGGAGACAAGAATGGAGAAATACCTCTGCACAGTGCAGCAGCAAAGGCAAATTAGGGGATGATCGAACAGCTAATAGCAAGAGGGGCGGAAGTATCTGCTGTTAACAACAGAGGTCAGACACCACTGCTTGTCATCTTAACTGACTGTTATGGCATGCACAATGTCACTGACGTAAGAAGAGCGATTAAAGTGCTATTAAGGTGTGAAAAGCGAAATGCGACTTTCAGATAAAGAAGATAACACAGCCTTGCATTTGGCCATTTCACAAGGTCGCAGCCTTCCTCAACTAATTATTGAAAATGGTGGAAATGTCAATGCAGTTGATGGGCACGGTTGTACACCACTTCGGGCTGCTTACACAAGCTTAAATACCTGTACGCTATACCAAAGAAGCAAGCATTCTTTTAAGAGCAGGGGCCAGTGTTCATTGCAAAGATCAGCTGGGGAATACACCCCTTCAGTAGCATTACACGCGCACGTGGCAGCTATGACACTGCCAAGTTACAACTAATCGAGAACGGAAGCGATGTCGACACTACTGATATAAAAGGAAGAACGTGCCTGCACATGGCGAGCTATTTGGGATCTGAAGAAATGTTGCAAAAAGTCATTTTGCATGGGGGAGAAGTTAATGCTGTTGATGAACTGGGTAGTACTCCACTTCATCTTGCCAGTTTGCGGAAGAGAGCTTGGCGGGTGGTAAAGGTTCTTTGAAGCGTGGCAGTGATCCGAACGCTACAGATTACAAAGGAAGTGCTCCTTTACATGTAGCTTGCCTTTCAGCGGAGCAAAGCAGCGGCGTCGCATTTGATTGATCACAGAGGGTACGGTTTAGATTTGATTTTGTCTTAAAGGCGCTCTCGCCTGGATTTACTTGTCTTTTCGACGTAATGTACCTAGCTTCTCGTCTGACACACACAAATGTTGAAAAGCGAAACTGATATCGAGAGACATGACCGACACCGGAAACCACGCAAGGAAAACCTCTGGCACTCAGGGAAGTGCCACGGCGGTCTGCAGCAATATTTGAGCACTTTCCTGGTTTCTTTTGTCACAAATTAACAATTTGCAGAATATTAAAGCCACTAACTCGGGAACGTTTTTGTCTTTCTTACAGACGCAATTAAGGCTAGAAATAAATAAGCCGTTAATGAGAGGCTACACTATGACATTTCCCTTCTTTATTTAAACCCTGACAAACATACTATTGTAGTTTGAAAAAAGCAGATGATATTTGTTGAACCGAACTGTGGGTAATTCTAAAAGATACGTCTCACTTTTGCGCTACAAAGGGACAAGTGGCTCTACCTGACATTCCATGACATATAGAAAAACCGCGTGGAAGCATAGAATATAACACTTACGACGCTAGAACGCATGCCCCTTACATGTTGGGTTCTACCATGAGGAAAACCACTCAACATTTGTGTGTTATCCCGTATGTAATGTATCCTCCACCTAATATATACACGAACGCTAACTAATATGCGCCTGCGTTTAGAGCAAATTGGGTTTGTTCTAAAGAGAATAGTACCACAAGGAGAGCACGGGGTTACTTGAAACAAATATATAGCTTTGCGATGTTTACTTCCAACCGACGTAGATGTAACATATTTTACGCAGGGTGCACGTGTACCTTTCCCACCTCACCCCCACCATTAGTCTACTGGAAGCCGGTTTTTTCTCTTAGGGTCACTTAGACGAGTGTTCAGTTAGTCATCGCGAACGCAGAAGGGCAGTATGGCGGTGGCCGAGTGGGGAAGAAGGCGTGCCGCGCCCATGTCTCGTCCCATTCCCCTTTACGCTTAAGCGTCATTCCTCATAACCCCTGCTGAATTTAGAGAAGAAAACAGACTGCCAGCAATCTATCCCACCGTTAATTAAACAAACATTAAAATTTACACCTTAGCGCTTACGGCAATAGAGCTTTATTGCCTCAACGGCAGGCTGACCCCAAAACCATCCCGATAGTGCACTCTGCACTAACAAGTAATTTATATTTAGTTCATGTTTACGTTGGACTCTAATGACGGATTCCCCTACCCTTTCATATACCTCAACTTATGAAATCCCTACCCGTTTACATACCTGAAGCCTGAAAAAGGTACCCCTTTCGGGTGGAACCTCCCTGTGTAGACCATTATAGGGAATACCCCACCCCCGGGGGTATTTTATTCACTATAACATCGATGGCTTTGACCACTTTACGACAACAGACACATAAATTCCTTTCTAAAGAGTTCTTTCATTGTGTAAAAATCGTGATTAAAAAATACGATATGTAAAAGTGCCAATAGCTGAAATGCTTATTCTTAGAAAAAGTCAACAAAGTTTAACGCTAACCAATTTGTAGTACTTCATGTTCACGGTCTTAATAAGTTGGTCTTCACGCACGAATCGTTCATGTTATCGTCCCTTTTAGGACTTTGACGCCCATTTCTCTGCAGTCGAGTATTCTGTAGCCTATTTCCTTTCTATTTTTGGCTCCACAAAGGTATGTTCCGATCAGGTTTGGAATCAAAAACCCATCACGCTTCAAGGGGTCAGGACGTCATTTTTTTGAATCTGTCTAAGTAGTTGGACATATTCTC